CAGCACGCTCACGTCACGACTTCGACGTCGTACGCGACGTCGACGAGACGAGAGAGAAGAGAGAAGAGAGAGAGAGAGAGAGAGAGAGAGAGAGCATATTCAAGTTTGGCAAAGTCTGTGATAGACCTAGCCAGTGTTCGTGTTGGAAAATGTGGCCTTTCACGCCATTTTATTCAAGATATTCAATTATTATATATGGGCACAGTTTGTATAGAGCCTACCTTCAAATAGTTTCGATAAATGTAGTTTCAATACTTAAAATATTTGTGATAGTCTCAAAAATATTATGATCTTTATTTATAAAGTTTAAAGATTCAAAAATAGTGTAGATCAACAGATCTATAAAAACTTGAAATTTTTTTTTTTCTCATGTCCATGCATCTTGATGTCAAGATGATCAATTTGAGGATATTTGGGCATCAAAACAACCGCTTCCAGTGAAATTTTTGATGTAGGCTCAAATTTGATTGTTTAGAGCCTCAGCTCTTTGTAAACTTTTCTATTAATATATTAGTTAGTAACATCATAGTATTGATATGAAAAAAGCCATATAAGGGTCTTTAGTGCATAGCTTGTTAAAACTGCCAATGCCATTTAAGGTGAATAGAGATAGAAGTTACAAATTAGATTTCAACTCCTATAGGCCATCATTATTATAATTAATTCTATGCAGTAGGGACTCTATAAAATAGAAGGTTTCTTAATGAATGAAAGAGCGAAAGAAGGGAGGAAGGGAGCTGATTTGCTTGCATTGTATACACATCACCATGGGGTACGGCTTATAGGATTTGGATTAGCACCCCATGCTCCTCGTGTAGTTTGGGGACAGATCCCAAGTATCGATAATCCTATCCCTAGTTTTCTCTGGTTTTTTTTATTTATTTGTTGTTTTACAGGGATCAACAAACGGTATAAGAGTGAGGATGCAGGTGGGTAAATATGCTTATTTGTTGATTTTATTATTTCTTTTCAATTAGTCTTCTCTGTTTGGCTTGGATTTCCTCTTCCTTTTTTTTTCTTTTTTTTCTTTTTTGTATGTGCCTAATTATGTTTTCAATTGGAGTGAGTTGATATATGTCCCTCTTCATGGATCTATGAATGTTGCTTATCAAGTAAATAAAAAAAAGAAAAAGGAAAAAGGAAAAAAGAAAAAAGGAATACAGGCAAGAGTGAGGGTACTTAGAAAAGTCCTAGTTGGTTACATGCTTGTGGAAATGGGCAATGTTAGATTTCGTGGGAGCATAGAATGTACAGATATTGAATGGAGAGAATAAGAGAGAAAACAATATTTACGTGGTTCAGGCCGAGGCCTGACGTCCATAGATCCAAAGCCCAAATGGATACATCTTTATTATTTGGATGAATGTTTACATCAAGTACCTCTATATATAGAGGACAATCACATAATTACAGAAGATAAATATGGTATGATAACTTGATGACCAAGTAACTTGGTCTCTATCTTCTAGATACATAACGTTATCAAGAGATATATACATATACATCCATAATGATGTATATCAATATGAACCCGGGATATCCATATCCGAACACTCTCCCTCAAACTCAAGATGCTTTGACACAAAGCAGTTGGAATTTGAACAATACTAAGTTGCCAAAAAAAAATAATGAGTAGTGATCAAATCTATGATACATTTCATGGGTTACCAAGGTCTTCTAAGAAACAATCTTTCTTGGGTTCTCTACTTTCTTTTAGAGATTTTCTCTCTTTATGGTCTTCCATGGTCTTCTAAGAAACATGCTTTCTTGGGCTCTTTACTTTTTTCTAGAGACTTTCTCTATTTAAGGTCTTCCAAAAAAGAACCTTTCTTGGGCTCTCTACTTTCTTCTAGAGACTTATCTCTCTAGGGTCTTCTTCTCTGAAGATCTTATCTCTCGGAGGCTTCTTTTCTTTCTAGACGCTTTTTCTCTCTAAAAGAAAATGATCATCACACAGGATGGAGCAACAACAAACTCCATCATCCAATAGGATTGAATAACAAAAAACTCAATCATTGAAACATAGGCATCTGGAACAAACAGGATCAAGTAAACTCGATCATCACATAGGATAGAATAACAAAAAACTCCATCATCAAACGAGATCAAATAACCAAAAACTTGATCATCAATCAGGATCGAGAAATTCAATTATCTTCATCTACTCATCTGGAGACAAAACTCTTGATCATAAATCAGGACTGTGAAATTCGATCATCTTCATCTCCTCATCTGGAGACGGAACTCTTGATCATCAACCATAACATCCCTTTGCTTAGTAGTTGGATTGATCCTAAATCTGGATTTTCTTGTCCACATAGAGATTACATTAGAGATGTTGACTTCATCTCTACTCATCTCATCTTTATATCTCCTATAATCTCTCCCTCAAGTTGGGTTTGGATGCGAAGAAACACCCAACTTGTAAAATACAATATTTTTTTTTCTTTTGATTACAATTATATAAAAAAAATATGTCAATGAAATTGGGCTTCTAGACAATAGCCCACATCTTTAAAAAATACCACCTTTTTTTTTTTCTTTCCACTTCTTCAATTTCTTTTTTTTTTTTAAGTAGAACAATCCCAAAACGAAGAGAGTTTTGGCACCAAACCGTGCACGCAAGAACTTTTACTTCCTTCCCTCTCTTTTAAACTCTCTCTCTCTCTCTCTCTCTCTCTCTCTCTCTCTCTCTCAAATTGCATCATCTGTCCTTTCTTGTTTGACTCTTTCTCCACGACTGAATTCATAGAATTTCATTGGTTCCGCTTTCATAGATCGTGCGCCCTGAAATAGTAGAATTGTTCTCTGTGAAACAATTTCTGCAAATATAGTTTGTGTGCATTCACAGGAAAAATCTGATTTTTTTTCTTTGCTGTAACCTCTGAAGTTGCACAAATCATTTTCTCCCTCTATAAGTCCACTTGTGAAGTCTCTAAACCTCTCCCTTTCTCTCTCTTAAACCATAAGATTTCTTTTCTGCATGTCACTCCCAAACTCACACCAGTTCCAAAATTTATCTCCTAAAATAAAAAAAAAAGTATCAAAACTTTGTTTTTAGATGATTTGAGAAGATTCTCTTCATAGCCTAGCTCCTCACAAATAGTTTGCTCCATCTTAACAACAAAACCCTTGTCCTGTTTGAGAAGTCTCCCTACATAATTAATCTCCTAAACCCAAGTACTCCATAACTTCTCTCTCTCTCCCAACATGGGCTCCCATCAATCTTTCTGCAAATCTACCCACGCAAACGCCATCAATGACCTGATGCATGAAACCTCCACTAGTGGCCGAAATCGTAGCCTCCACCTTTGTAAAACATGTACAATTTCAGGTATGTAAACAATGTTCCATTTATTCATAAAATTCTCCACATAAGAAAATTCAGGTTGTGAGCCTTGGTTTGGAGGGGCCTTTGAAATAATTGCCCACAAAGTAGTTTGAGCCCTTGGTAAACTAGGGTTTTGAAGCCCGCAAAGGAAGGTAGCAGAGTAAGTCCAGGATGAGGGCAAGGTAACAGAGCATGGAGCTGGATACCAAACGCCGAAGACTACATGGAAATAATATGCCTGATTTTTCAGGACAAGGAGAGAGAGATGTCTTTGAAATTTTCGGAAGCCAACAACAGGGTAGACGATCTTGAAATTTCTCGACCTCAGAGCTAAGGTCCTCGTCGATCACTCTGATACCATGTTAAAAGTAGGGTGTCTTGGAATTTGCGGTGAAAGGGGATTTTTGGCATGGCAGAGATAATGAAAGTAGGGTTTTATTTGAGGAGTTGTGGGATCAATGGCTTGGAATCAAGTGAGAATCGATGACGAAAAGAGAACTGTGAATATGATTACCGACCTTTTCACTTCGGGGAGTCTAAAAAAAATGTGGACTTGGAAGGCAAGTAAGAACTGGGCAAGATAGATTCTTAGAGGGCTTCACCGATCAAATAAAGGCTCGATTCTTGAGAGTCGAAATACGAAATCGTGAACCTTGAGAGATGAAATACCAAATCAAAGGCTCGTGAATCTTGAGAGACGAAATACCAAATCGAATCTTTAGAGATGAAATACCAAATCGTGAACCTTGAGAGACGAAATACCAAATCAAAGGCTCATGAATCTTGAGAGACGAAATACCAAATCGAATATTGAGAGACGAAATACCAAATCGTGAACCTTACTCTGATACCATATTAGAATTCGTGGGAGCAACACAAACATTGAATGGAGAGAATAAGAGAGAATACAATATTTACGCTTACGTCCACGGATCCAAAGCCCAACTGGCTACATCTTCAGTATTTGAATGAATGTTTACATCAAGAAGTACCTCTCTATATAGAGGACAATCACACAATACAGAAGATAAATATAGATAAATATGGTATGATAACTTGATGACCAAGTAACTTGGTCTCTAAATTCTAGATACCTAACCTTATCAAGAGATATATACATATACATCCATAATGATGTATATCAATATGAACTCGAGATATCCATGTTGGGCAATACCCCTTGAACTACATAGGGGGTGCTTTAGAGGGATTTGTGTGTCGTAAATCATCTGATTTCAAAATGGTCTATTAGAGAGATTTGCTTCAATAATTATGTGCATTTTGAATTTATTTTTCATTTAATTATATGTATTTTGACTCAATTTTTTGTTTTGCACTTCTTTTGTCTGCAACGCCTTTTCATGGCAATGTGATGACAAAAAAAAAGTCCATTTTTTTTTTGAGAAAATTACGAATAACGCCCTAGACTAGATACTTTATGCGAGTTATCCCCAGCCAAACTTTTTTTCTCATTTCTTCCCCCAAAATACACTTTGCTAGCGAATATCCCTTAGTAAAAACCTGTACATTTTTTTGACGAAAACACCTTTTTTTGTACATAAAAATTTAATTTTGGCCAGACATTCACGTGGGCTTACATGGGCTGCCAGACCGCTCTTTGACATTACCGGACTACTCTTTGACATTGCTAAACCGCACTGTGAGCCTATTGTCGGACCACATGGGCCTATTGTCGGATTGCTCTGTGGCAGTGCCAGACCGCATGGACCTATTACTAGACCGTTCTTTGTCAGTGCCGAACCGTCAGTTGTACTGTCGGACGGTCACTGTTATTTACCGGACCAATATTCCACGGCCGGACCACCCTAAAAATACGTTGGACCGCCTTTTCATGGGAAAAAAGAGAGAGAGGCATGGTAAAAGTATGGGAGGGTAGTTTAGAGTTTTTTTAACTTTTTTTGGGTTGGGGGGTATTTGCTAACAAAATATATTTTGGGGTAAACGTGAGAAAACAAAGTTTGGTTGGGAGTAACTTGCATATAAAGTCTACTTTTGGGTGTTATTTGTAATTTTCCCTCTTGTTTTGGTTAGTTTGCTGAAAAATATTTGGTAGGTTCCAATCACAAAAATATTATAGTAAATTCTTTGTGGAAAAAGTTAATATAAGGATGTTACCTTATAATGTAGAACTACAGATGCCCCTAAAAAATCCATCGGAAAAGATAGTTTTAGTGTTGAAAAACCCTTTGATTGATCATCTCGACATCAAGATGTATGACTATGAAAAATAAAAATATTTTAAGTCTAA